GCCCAGGTTTTAGCTCATGGACACCTCATGGGAGTTGGCTCCTCCTGGCACCCCTCCACCTTAGTGCTACCCCACTCCAGCACCTACGAGGAGTTCACCAGGGCGGGCTGCCCGAGTGCAAAATGCTCGTTACCTCCACGTCTCCTCTCAGCACAAGGGGCTCTCGCGTTCTGCGCCACAGCTGCTTTTCCCAAAACGGGAGGCTGGCAGGGGAGAGACGGGCGCTGCCGCTAGAAGGCCCGTGGAAGTCAGAGGCTCACGGCCACATTAGAGATTGCAGTTTAGCAGTTTTAAATGATTCTCTCTAAAAAGAGGTCCCACGGTTTTTCTGGGGCAGACTTGCATCAGCAGCCGCCTTCCATTTAGGAACAATTTACTCATAAAAACACAACAGGGCTCTTCTTACAGGAGAGCGATGGTCTTGATATTATCATCTAACAGCCCAAGCGCTGGTCTTGTGTGACCTCCTCTGTGGATTTTTTCGAGATGGAAACATGGGCTGCTCCCAGGGGACCTGGGATGCTATACTCCTTCCTCCCACCACTGCTCAAAATCTGCCATCAAAACGCTCTGGAGTCACACTCGCCAGCAGCCTGGAAGATTCATGTCAATCCCCCAGCTTGGCTGTCAGGGAAAACCACGCCGCGCTTCGTGAGAAAAACAGCCCCAAGGACGCATATCATCAGGCTGCGGCTGAGCTATAAAGCAGGAGTGGGCCCCAAGCACGGCAGAGCCTCGCGCGGGGCGGACCATGCCTCCCTGTGCTGCCGAGCTGATGGCCGTGCCTTTGTCTACCTCCCCTCCCCACCCCTTTGGGCAACACCACATCAGTGAAACATTTTGAATTGCAGACCAAGTTCCAGCAGGAGTTTCAGCTCGCACAGCGGGATGGGAGACAGCTGGCGATGGCTAGTGCAGCCAAGGTCTTTGTTTGCGAGCTAGTCCCATCGCCCAAAGACATCAGGAGCCACTGACCTACTGCCTGTAAACAAAGGCCTTTCAGAGCCGGGAAGCTCCTACCCAGCTGGTGACAAGGAGACTCTACAGTTCCCACTAGCAGGCAGCTACCACCCTTTGGCTCTCCTCTGAGCTCCCAGCCACTGCAAGAAGACGATGGCTGTCACCTCCTGCAGTCCTACCCCTCCCAAGAGCAGAGTCTCGAAATGAGCCTGTACCTTCTCCGTCTGACAGGTAGTTGTACCAGAAGACAGCAGTGCCTTGCTGAGGTTTCACTCGCAAATTGCCCTTGTCGCAGTTTTTCCGAGTATCTCGCAGGTCAACGTCATTCTGGATCAAAGACTGACAAGAAACCACAGAGAAGGTGTCGCAAACGGGGCTGGAACGAAGTGCACGCACTGGGCTGCCTCTGCTGCCAGCCGCCATCCTGCCCTTTGCCTGAACGCCCCACAGGGACAGCTCAAGGCTGATGCTGGGCAGGACAGAGCTTTCATAACCCACCCAGAGCAGCCAGTTCCAGTCCTCTGGAGGTCCATAACCTGTTTCCCAGCAGCCGCCCATTCCTTAACACACTGCCTGACAGGAGCACAACAGACCTGCCAAGACTTAGTCTGAGGAAACCTGCCCAGAGAGCAGCCAGCACGACTTGTGTTATGGCAGCAAGGCCCACAGACCACCCCTCGTGCCTCTGAGCAGGGAGAGCTGCAGCTGTCAAAGCCCCGTGCCTCTTCCCTTGGCCTCAGAGGGAAAAGACCGTAATTGGAGCACAGTTTCCCCATGCTCTAGCTACGAAGCCTAACGTCCACCAGCCTCATGCACTGGACCTCTTCTGCAGCCACAGCAAATAAAGACATTCAAAGAGGAACTCAAAATCCCCAGAGGTAACATGCAGGCGAGATTCATTTACCATCTCTTCGTATGTCCTGTTATCAGCTATGGGAAAGACTGTTTCACCTCCCCCAGTCACATTGTTCAGGTAGAACAGCACCGTCACATACCTGCAGGAGAGAATGACTGTCAGGGCACACAACTGGAACAGGAGGAGACGCACAGGGGCTGTTCCTGTTCGTACCCTGCCCCTCCACCACACATACAGTGGTTTCTCTGAGACATCAGAAAACACGTGATTTACATCTCCAGCTTTTCTCCGTGGACAAGACAAGGACAACAAAGAAAATCCCCACCTGCAATGGTGAGGGTGTGCTTCTAGCCTCTGGTGGGAATGGCCCAGCAGCTCTGTAGAACCACTCTGCCCTCCTCACGTGGACCCACAGGATTTGCCCACCTCCCCCTTCAAACCCCTTCATGCCAGCGATCTCCAGAGCTGGTTTGCGAGCCCACCACCTGAGCACCGAGCCCCACACGACAAAACAGCTCTCCACACCTCTTCTCTTAAGGCGCTGCAGGTTGTGCCGAGGCAGACCTTACCGGCAAGAGGTCTCAAAGGGAGCGCTTTCGTTGGCGACCAGCTTCGTGTGGCTGCAGGCAGTCTCGGGGAAGACGGGGCCACTGTCCATGTGGGCATGGTAGTGCCCTCCTTGGTCGTACCGCACAACCTGGAGGGGCTCGCTGTGCTCCACAATCTCAGGGGGCAAGCGAGTCAGGCGCATTACCCTGGGGAACAGGACAGCAGAGCAGGTGAGGGGAAGCACCATCACCCTGGTGGGCCACTACTCCCAAGCAGCGAATAAATCCACAGAAAGATAACCCCCTTCCCCAACAGACCGGAGAGACGGATGGGCTGCAGCAAGCATGCCAAGAGATAACCAGGTCCTTACAGATCTGTTGGACCATCAGCATCAGCTCAGAAAATCCTCGTCAAGGTTAGTAAAAAAAACCCCAAAACCGAAGGGTGCATCTCCAGCAGGACTGCTCTCAGGAAGACTTTACTTGCTCAGCAAGATCCTTTCTGTGTGTGTCCCTGGTGCCTCCATGTGCCATCTCATCGCTTCTCGAGACTCCTGCACACCACCTACAGACCTCGGGGACAGTTAGCAAAGCACAGGGCCCCTGCTGAGAGTGAACGAGAGACTAGCTCTAGGAATATTCTGGTCACCTAACTCACCTTTCCCTGTTGCCTTTTCAGCAGCCTCCCCCCAGGGCAGAGGGGCACTGGAAGTGATCAAGGAGACCGGAGCCCTCCTGCTCTGGGATATTTCCGCTGCTACATCTGAGATCATCCCCCAAGGCAAGCAGGTACGTCTTGAGACCTGCCAAAGAACACTCAGAGCTCTGAGAATCCGGACCGGTGAAGCCCTTGGGGCAGGTGCACCCAGGCAGGACGGCAAAGCCCCTCCAGGTACCGCATGGTCCCAGGGAGGACTAACAGCCTCCTTCAGCGCTACCTCCTCACGTTCTCGTAACAGTGGCCGACTGAAGAGCGTAAAGGCAGTAGGCTGTTGCCTGCGTGCGCTGGCTAGCTGGCACGGAGAAGGTGGCAGCCACAGTCTGCTCTAATCAAGGCAATATGCGATCCCATTCTCCCGCTGGAATGCACTGAAGAAAAGGAGTGGCCAATAGCCGTTTTCAAGCCTCGGGACACATTTTACCCACCCATGTTCTGGGTGAGGACCAGCACCACAAGAACAAGAGTCTCCAGCCAATTATCTGAAACTCACCACGGCTAAACGATTTGGCCTGTGTACTCGGTTTCAAAGCTTCCCAGTACCAAATCTGAGATGAAGGGAAGGGCAAGAGGTTTCTCCCATCTGCCGCGAGCTGCCCTGCCATACGTGTGCTCAGAGGATTAAACTAAGTCGGCTTACTTGAGGTGAAGTCATGCTTGTTAAAGTCAGCTCTGAACAGCTAAGACAGATTTCAGTGAAATGCATGAGTAACTAAAGCAAATGACAGTAACTACTGGCACACAGACAGCATTGGAAACGGGCAGTTCCTCCCAGTAAGCTCATTTACTAATTAGAATGAATTATTTCATATAATGCCAAGTCTTCTGGGTTTTATAGGGCTGTTCCCAAAAGTGAATGGAGATGCTGAAAGGTTTGATTTTTCTTTTTCCTTTTCCATGGGACAATACAAATTCTTGTTCTAATGAAAACCTCCTCTCCCCGTTTCGTGTCTATGTTCATTGCTCTTTATACTCCAAAGACTTCTACGCAATTAGTGGAATTAGTGTGAATATTAGCAAGTCTGCCACTGCCTCTCCCAGCACAGGTGGTCCTTGTGCCTGCACAAACCCAACCGCCCCTCGCCTGCCCGGCCCTTACCTTTGCCGTATGGCTCTCATGACCTGGTGTGCCCCCTCGCCCTGGTACAGCCAGGTGTGCTGACTGTTGCGCACCAAGTCGCTCATCTTCACTTTCTGGCTTCCCATGTACTTGTGGAAATCACGAATATTCAATTGTTTGAACTCCTCCAAACTCAGCACACCTACGGGAAGACAGGAAAAGCCAGCTGATTCTGGGGCAGGTAACAGTTCTTGGTGTCCTGTACTTGGAGAAACCACCAGCTGAGGGCACTGCAGAAATTGCCTTCCTCAAACAAACCCCATTCGGGCTCCACCACCGTGCCCACCACAGGCTGCACCCCGTACGTGCCCCCAGCAATGCCCTCGCCTTTAGCAGAGCAGAGGGCATACAGCAACCTGCAAAAGCGAACCATTAGCTGGCGTGTGGGTTCAGAACTGGGACAGGCAAAATGCCACTTTGAACTTTAAAGAACTCGTAAAATACACAACCCAATCCATCAAAAGAGAGAAATAGCCACCACAGTTCTAACACATGCAATGCCACAGCTAAAAAGCCTCTGCCACCTGATGCCTTGGGGCTTGGTACTTAGATATTTAAATACACATGTTTAAGAGCAGAGTGGGACACCTCAGACCATACTCTCTGCAAGACCTTTTATGTCAATTTACAAAAGCCAAGCCCAAAACAAGCGGTATGTTCTTCTGCATTTGTGTAATTGCAAAAAATGATTGAGAAATACAACAGAGTAGGATCTTGCATAAGTAGAAATAACAGTGAGAGGTAAAAAGTGGTTTCTACTAAAACAGGTATTGTTTTCACTCAACTTGGACTCAGCAAGGGATGGAGTTTTGCCTTTGTTGGCTTCAGAAAAATCCTCACATTTGTTGTTTCTCCTTTCTGGAGAAGAAGGGAAGCCCTGCATAGAGGATCAGGTCCCTGAGATCAGAACGTGCGGAGCACTGCAGTGTGCTGCCCAGCAGCCAACACGCACCGTGAGCTCCCTCAGGCAGCAAACCCAGCGCTGCTGTGGTGCCAGCTCTGCCCCCCGGGCACACAGCACCCTCCGGCAGGAGGAAGGACCAGCCACCAGGGTCAGCCTGGGACAGTTCCTCAGGTGCCGCTGGTCATGACCAAATTATCCATCCCATTATTATTTCTAGTGTCTCCCTGCCCTCACTTCCCCTTACTCCACGCAGTCTTTGATGATGCAGTGCCACATCCAGGTTGTGACCTGGTCTCTCGGTGTCACGTACCACTCTAACAATGGAGGGAAGCAGCCCTCTGGAAGCGAGGTCCTGCCAAGAGCACTTTAACGGGACCTCTCATTTGTTAATGTCCGGAACAGTGGAAAAGCCACTGAGGACTCAGTCATATGCTCCTGTCCCTGCCAAAAACGCCACCAGCCCGGAGGAGCAGGGCATGGGGTGCCCTCCGGATATTTAGGCATTCACGGCTTCAACTCCAAACCAGCTCCTCCTGGGCAGCTCTCAATGCCAGGTCACTGGAAAAGAGCGTGCAGAGCCTGTGCGTTCACTTAATTTGATTAGGAAATGGAGAGTTGCTTAATTGAGGCCACTCTAATTAGAGCAGCAGAGGTTAGAGTGCATGTCCGGACCAGCAGGAGCCCTTGGGAGACTGGGGGCAGGAGGGGCACAAGTGGCCTCATGGAATACAGAGAATTTGCAGCGGCAGAGAGGGGGGTCAGCAACAAAGGCTGACCAAGAAGACCACCCTCCTCTCCACTTGTTCTGCCCTCCCCTGCCAGTGATGTGGGGCTCCCAGCCTGCCGCAGAAGTCTCCCTGAAAACGGGGTGGGAGTGGAGGGCGCACCTTAACACCTGCAGCCCAGGTAACCACAGCTACGTAGTCAGAGCCAGCGCTCTGACTCTCTGACCCCGTCTCTCAGACCACGGGAGCAGAAGCGCACCCTGAAGGTCCTGTTAACAGCAGGCACGAACCAAGGCAGGTCTGACAGGGAAGAGGGAGCACAGAGTTGTGTTCTGGTCCTGCTTCTGCAAGATCCAAGCCCAGGCAGTGGAAATAGTCTGCTGCTAGACTGGTAATAAAGGGGCAGGAGTGCTGTGATGAGAGGTTTACACTGACTTTCCTTTTCTGCGAAGGTCTCTAAAGCCGTGCAGTGTTATTTTCCTTGGAAGAACGCTGCTAGAGAAACAGGCCTGGGCAGGGACACGGCTCTTGCTCTGCTCCACATGGTTGTGCGGGGTGTCCAGCGTGCTGAGGGCGAAGGGATTCCCATGGAGCTGCTCTTACCATTGCCATCAGGATCAGCCTTGACTGCACTGTACATCTCCCGGATGTTTTCAGGGGTCATCCACCTGCCGTTCCCAAGCCTGGTGTGGGTCAACACCTGAAATTCATAAATAGATCAACACTGGTTTCTTGTACTACTGAACTCTACAGATTCCCTGCTTGAGGCCTGGCGGGCTCTCCTCTGCAGCACGCTGGCCAGCCAGGCGTCAGCCCATCTCTGCAGAAAGAAGACTGCAGTGAGAATCATCTGGCAGCCACACGCAGTGTGTGGTTGATGAGTGCTGTTATTTCCAGTTTAGGTCATGGCAAATGACTGCTGGGACTCGGTTAACCAGTCCTGAGATGGAGGGGGCACAGCTCTTTCTCTTGAAGCGAAAATAAAGCTATTGATGATAAAAGTGAGTGCTTTTACTTGTCCAAGATAAGAGCTTGGAACAAAACGCTTCCTTTCCACATAGACAGAGAGATGCAGTGTCCTGGAGAGCTCTCAGCAGGCTCTGACCTCCAGAGAAAGCAGCCTTGCCCTAGGTTGTCACTGGCACAGCTCCCCATACCCCGCAACACTTGCTGCTCACAGGGCAGTACACATCCCCAGCCCCACCTGAAACGGGAGCCCGCGGAGGGACATCCTTGAAGTGCCAGCGCCTGCCCTGATGCACCCTGCCACACAGGGCAAGGGTGCTGAAGAGCTGCGGGCAAGGTGCTCATTATCCCCCTCCGGGCTCATTAACAGGGGGGGCTTTGCTGGTGTCTTGTCAATCAGCACAGTCAGCTCCCCACAGGCTGCACAAAAGCAGTGCCTGCGCTACAAACTCCCTTCCCCAGGACACACAGCAAGAGGAAACCCACAGCACAAGGAACATTTTCCCCAGCATATTGAAAGCTACACATCTCCTGCCAAGGACCGTTGCTGCCTCCCAATAGCATGACAACTGCTGCACATTTCCCCAGAAACTCCCATGCTGAAGACCAGCACAAGCCTTGACACATAAAATTAGGCAAATACTGATCGGTATATACCGGGGTCTGGCCTACCCAAGCACATGAGTGATCAGGAGACCATCTGAGGAGGGGACCTGCCAGAGTGTTCCACAGCAAACCTCCCCCAGTCTGTCCCACCCTCTACCTCTTTGAGCTGCAGCTGCCCATCCTGATTGTGGTCCAGCAGGTTGAAAATGTCCATCTGGCTAATTTCTATCATTTCCATGGCTTCTTCATAGTCATCTGTTGGTAGGATCTGGCTCTTCTGCAGCCCCTTCAGCTGTGCCAGATGGACGATGAGCTTACACTCCTCCTCTGTCAGGAAGTCAGGAATTTCTGCAGCAAAAGTGTAAGCAGCAACAGAGACTGAGGAACTGTTACAGTGGAACCCCATGCTGATGGCAGGGCACTCATTTTGGAAAAAAAGAAAAAAAAAAGTGGGGGGAGGCAGAAATTTTAGAAACGGCCTAAGTTGAGGACATTCAAGCACACCCACTCTTCTGCCAGAAGAGCCCTCAAAGACCATACACCACACACCTGAGCTGCTGGAGGCAGGTATTTTTACAGCAGCAGTTCTTAAATGTTTGGATCCAGGGGTCAAGCCCTTAAACTCTTTCACACATACCACAATGGACAAAGGAGTAAACAAACACGTGCATATCACTGCATATTATCACTTCAAAGGTGACATGTGGATCACAGTCTGAGAACTGCTGCTCTGCAGGAAGGGAGGCCAAAAATCTTTACGGTGGCCAGTGGTGATGGCCAGGGCTTCAGGCTTCCGCGCTTTCACGTGGAGAGGGCGGCACTTAGCACAAAACCAAATGCCTTTTGGGGGAACCTGGCACAGAGCTCTACTACGAAACTCAAACAGCAAGGAGACAACTTCCAAACTTATTCCCACTCATTCCCTTGATCGCCCACTAAAACTGGTCTTCAAATGCAATATTAAAGAGGAAGACACTGCACATGGCAGATGCCACGCTCCATACCCAGGCAGCATCCCAGTATCACCAGCTTTCCTTTGCAGCATGATGCCAGCAGCAACCAGGCAATACCAGGATCCCAAGCAGAGAAATCCACTGATGACTGTGAGGCTAAGAGGTTTCCAGCTGCGTGGTGCACTGGGCACCTACTTGCAAAGTGCTGGTGAGGTCCTGTCCCACAGCACAGTTACACTGTGGCCCAGAAGGCTGAGAAGATCCTTCTGGCTGATGTCTGTCACTGCTATGGGGTTCTTGTTACCAGCTGCTGAGACATTTGAAGAGGGAAAGAAAAACCACCAAAGCAGGACAGGTTTAAGTGCCCCTAGGCCCAAGGCCCTGCTCTCCAAATCGCAGCCCCCCAGAGCTCCTGCGGGTATGTGCCAAGGACACACTGTATCTCCACTACAGCAGAAGTCCTCAAAGGGGGGGAAAAAAAAACATTAATTACTTCCACGACCTTAAATCAACCCTATCAGCTCAAACTGTCAATAAGCAGTTGGCTTCTTGCTAAGAACAGACCAGAACTAGCCCTGTAGAAAATGAGATGTTCCTGGGAAGCCCCAGAAACACAATGCAGCCGGCTGTATCCGTAACACCCTCCGAGGAAACAATTTCCGCCACAGGCAGCGCAGGGTCCTTGTGCCAGAGGATGCTTCAGAGCCGGAGCTTCCACTGACCGGTTTGAACCTCGTGGCACGGCACCAGGTCCGAATGAACCGTGTGCGCTGGCAAGCAACGCCCCCAGCATTTCCAGTTCCCCAACCGGGCTGCAATAATGATGGCTTCTGGAATCTTAATTACGTGCTGGAGGAAGGACAATCCCGCTCTTCGGCGGTAGTAACGTGATTTCGTAATGAAGTAAAAATTCTGTTAACCGGGAAGCGTGCTCTGTCACGCAGGTTGCAAGGTGAGGGGGTTTCCAGCTAAGCGCTGCCAATCCCGTCTGCAAACAACCTGGCTCCACAGCTGCAAATTAGTTCCTCTCTGCCCTCAGCTCTCCGAAACGGTTAACTTTCGGCTGTGAGGCCATCCTATCTCCCTGCCTGCTCAACAATAGATCCAGCTAAACAAATGCCTCCTAATTGACTTTGAGCAACACTTGATTGCTTTTACAAAAAACAAAAGAGAGGAAAACATTGGGGTTTATGAAATAATGACTAATCCTGGAGCAAGAGAAAGGGGATGGGTTGGAGCACTGGTGTCAAACAGAGATTCAATCTTGGCTGAAAGAGCCCCAAGACACACGGGCCAAGTCATTCATCCCTCCCCAACTGCCCTCATTTCCACACCTGCTGATCTAAGCCAAACCCCTGCTAAAATCCAAACAATCGGGGCCGCTGGCAAACGAAAATTGGAGCATTGTCTTCCCCATGAGGGCTCTGAAAGGGCCGCACTTAATGAGGATGGATTGACAGAGAGGTGGCTCGTAGGCTATAAAAGGCGTCCCACAGTCGGGAGCAGCTCAGTCCGGGGTGCGCCGCCCGTTCGCCCGCTCCCAGCTCGCTCCGAGCATGGTCACGGCCCACCGCAGGCACCCCTCGAGGTCGGGCGGCCCATGGCTGCTGGCTCTCCTGGCACGCCTGCTGCTCTGGGGCTCTCCAGGAGCCTGGGCGAGCTACCTGAGGAGATCCTCCAGCTGCACGCCCATTCCTCACCGCATGGCCTTGTGCTATGATATCGGCTACTCCGAGATGAGGATTCCCAACCTGCTGGAGCATGAGACCATGCCAGAGGTGATCCAGCAGTCTTCCAGCTGGCTGCCCTTGCTGGCCAGGGAGTGCCACCCAGATGCCAGGATTTTCCTCTGCTCCCTCTTTGCACCAATCTGCTTGGACAGGTAAGATGTTTTTACAAGTTATTTCAGCTGTAGCAAGTAACACTCCCCAAGAGCACAACAGCGTTTGCCTCCCGAGAGAAAACACGTGCAGTGCGATCCGCGCAGCCCCCAAGAAGCCGTGCTGCCCCTCTCGGCAAGGGGCAATCGCAGTGCCCAGCAGGGATCTTCCCTCTGAGACATGAATATTTCATCTCGCAGCAGGGGAAATGTTATGTTCCCTCCTCTGGATTTTCCTGCTCTCCCACCCCAGTCAACGCTGCCGTCTCCCCCCGGCCGCCCCCCTTGTGCACCGCAGGAGCTGCTG